CTTGTAGTCATGTTGTATTCTACTTTGAGATGCAGACAAAAGCAATTTCAATAGATGTTTGAGGAAACCTCATATATTAAAACTATACTAAATGTAACGTAATTGCGATGTAGCAATCCAAAGAATCCTTTACATTTCATAAATCTTTTTGGTAGAAGTTTCGTTCATCTAAACGCTCAGCTGACCTTCTAGAACCCGACTTGCTTAATGGCGGAGTTCACGGAGACGCCCCGCCATCTTGGACACGCTTCAGATTTTTAAATGCGAATATCAAGTGTGTGGATTGATCGATTCTAAAATAAATTATATATTTGGCCTTTCCAGTAGGGTCTCCATTCACATCAATTATATCAAAGAAAAATATTGAAAAACAAAAAAAGTTGGAAAAGTGCACATTTTGAATTCGCTTCCTGTGGCGACCGGAAGTACTGACGACGCAAACGAAGGCAAAATTGCACATCTATAACTCATCGTCTATCATCTCTAATAAGTCTCCAGTTAATATCTTGAGCCGTATTCGAGAACATTCGAAGACAAAATTGCATTTTAAAATCAGGAAATTGTCCATAACTTGGCACTGGTAGCGAATTGTCCAACAAACGGAATTTTATATAAAATTCATATAGTGAGCTATTACTCCTGAAATTTTCATTGAATTCCACCAAATAGTTTACGAGAAATCGCCTGCACAAAATTTTGTCTAAAAAAAAAAGAATAATAATAATAAGAAACAATAGAATCACTATAAGGTCTTCCGTGAAGACGGAAGACCTTAACTAGATGCGATCTCGTTGCGAGCAACGAGTAGGTCTTCCGTCCGAATTTTCGATAAGATGAGATATGACTTTGACTATGATCTTTGATAAAACATCATGGAGTCATGCCTTTTCTCTTTTGATTAAATCCTTTTGATTTAGATAATATCATCAATGCGTACTTAATTTGCACATTAATTTTTTTCTTTTTTCTACTTTGAGAAACAACCAAAACCAATTAAAGAAAACTTGCAAGGAGACCTTGGATTATGAATGTAGTTTGACACAGAATTGCAACGAACCTACGACGTGACAATCCAAGTATCCCTACACATTTCATTGCTCCTTATGTTACTTTCGTTCAAGCAAACGCTCAGCTGCCCCTGTTAACCGCTATTGCGAAATGTCGGAATTGACAGAGACCGCCGCCATTTAGTTCCCGCTTCAGATTTTTGAATGTTAATATCTCGAGTTTGCATTTATAAATTTACAAACGAATTATATATTCAGCCTAATAAGAAATGTTTCTATCAACTATACTAATATAATTTGAAAATATTGAAAAACAAAAAAGTTAAAGACGAGAGACTTTTGGCCCCTCTATGCCCCTAATTTGAAGGACTAACCCCGTTTACTTGATATCAAATGAAAGGTCTTAGTATATTGGACATTTTTTATTATATATGTCTTAACAAAATATTAACAGGTAAAAAGATATAAAAGAAAACGTGTCAATTTTTGCGAGATGAGTATGAGGCTATTTTTCGAGCCCAGGCGAGCGTCGATGCCTTCTTACCTGGAAAGCTCTATATGCAAAATGTCACATCTACTATCCTTCCTCTACCTTCACTGAAAATCTCAAGTCGATATCTTAAGTCGTTTAGGAGGAGATCTCAGGACAAGCTTACCCTCTAAAAATCAGTAAATCGTCCATATCTCACGACCGGAAGTGACGACGTACTTACGAAAAATTTCCGACAAGGTTCAGATAAATATCTATCAGATCTGAAAATTTGGTGAGAATCGGTCCAGCCGTTTCTGAGAAATCGCGTGCACAAAATCGGTAAGAAAAAAAAAAATAATAATAATAATAATAATAGGGAAAAAGAAACCGAACGAAAACAATAAGGTCTTCCGTTGGAGACGGAAGACCTTAATAATAAGAAACAGAGTAAAAACAATATGTTCCCCAACTTCGTTTGGGGAACATAAAAATAGGCATTGCACGCGTGTTCATTTGCGTAACGACCATATTATCTTGTCTACACTATCTAAACTTTTAATATACTTAATATCAAAACATTTAATCCATAAGTATTTAAAAAATACACTCATTCGAATGTATTTTTAATTTTACTCATTTTGCGTGCAAACACGTGCAAGCACGTGCATAATGACTACACCTTCTTTTAGAAGTCCCTTATATATATCTATGTTCTAAATCCCATCCTGTTTCGTTGAAAAACAAAGGAGTTATAGCCATTTGAATTTTCAGCCAATCAGATTGCAGCACACATACATGCGCGTGATGTCATAAATTTTTTATCCTTATCGTATTGAAGGGTATCTAAATGAATGACTATATTTTAAAATTCCAAACATTTCGTCAAAAAACAAAGGAGATATAGCCATATAAAGTTTCAGCCAATCAGATTGCAGCACACGTGCATGCGCGTGATTTCATGATTTTTCCTATATCATATTTTAGGATATCCCAATGCATGACTATGTTTCAAATTTCAATGCATTTCGTCAAAAAACAAAGAAGATATAGCCATTTAAAGTTTCAGCCAATCGGATTGCAGCACGCGCGCATGCGCATGCTTTCATGGAAATTTTTATATATCATGCTGTAGATCTTTATAATGTAGGACTATGCTCAAAATTTCAAAAGATTATGACAAGAAACAAGAAAGATATTGAGACTTTAGTTTCAGCCAATCAGAGCGAAGCGCACGTGCATGCGCGTGAGATCTTGCTATTTTGACCATGCCATCTTGTCTATACTACTAATGTATCCTTATATTATGAGTTTCAAAAAAATTCTTCCAAAAAAAGAAAAGTTACAGTAATTTCCATTATATTGGTCATTTCTCGTGTTGCACGTGCGCGCTCTTGCAAGCACGTGCGCGCAAAATGACCTTCGTTCGGCAAATCTACATAACATGTCTACTGACCCTAAAAACATTTTACCTTAGTCGGATGTATAGTTTACAAGATCACTCGAGGACAAAATTTTCCCAGGAATAATAATAATAATAATAATAAGAAACAGAGTAAAAACAATATGTTCCCCAACTTCGTTTGGGGAACATAATAATAATAACTAGAGCCGAGCTCGTTGCAAAGCAACGAGTAGGTCTTCCGTCCTGTTTGACCGGAAGTACATTTTATTTTTAACAAAAGTGAGAAATAACGCCCAGAAATAGCTTGAATCCTCTAAAGCTATGTTAATTAATGCAAAAATAAGCAATTTTTTGCTACTTCCTGTGTGACCGGAAGTGACGACGACGGACGGTAAATAAATTTTTTATTGTCCATGAGACATCTGTTACCTAAAAACGTGTCAAAACGGCTAAAATTCGCGTTTTCCGACTACTTCCGGTTTGGCCGGAAGTGACATCGCCGGACGAATTTTTACGAAGCGAATACATTCAGCTTGACATTTTGAACAACTTTGCTTCTTTGATGTATTAAAAATTCTTTATAGATTTTGAGATATAAAGGAAAAACTTTAGGCCCCTTTAGGCCCCTAAATTTAGGGGCTAGCCCTTTTTTCGAGATATCATTTGAAAGGTATTTTAATTCTGCACTTCTTTTGTTCAATATGTCTAAATAAAATATTTTCAGGTGAAAAATTATCGTAGAAAAGATGTAAAAAATTTGAAATTCAAGATACGACTATTTTCGGGCCATAGCGAGCGCCGACATGCGTCATTTCCGGTAAATTTGATTTACCTTATGCACCTTTCCAAACTTAGCTCTACCTAACCTCAAAGTTTGAAGTTTCTATCTAGAGCCGTTTTTCGGAAAAACTGTGGACAAAATGACCCTTAAAAATCAGAAAATCGACGATATCTCTAGACCGGAAGTGACGTCATCAAAACAGAAAAAAACGCATAAGGTTCAAGTAATGTTCCATAAGTCCTGAAAGTTTCATTAGATTTTGTTCGGCCGTTTTCGAGAAATCGCGTGCACAAAATCGGTAAGATAAAAAAAAATAATAATAAAAGTGAAAAAGAAACCGAAGAAAAACAATAAGGTCTTCCGCTGAAGACGGAAGACCTTAATAAGAAACAGAGTAAAAACAATATGTTCCCAAACTTCGTTTGGGGAACATAATAATAATAATAATAAGAAACAGAGTAAAAACAATATGTTCCCCAACTTCGTTTGGGGAACATAATTAACCAGGAGCAAAGGATAAGATGTTCAAAGAATTCATGCATTTCACTATATAATCATTAGAGCCCCACCCTAAAACAAGAACCCCTGACCCTGGGGCCATACAATTCACAAATTTGGTAGAGACACTCTTGCTCATCATAACTATGCACTTAGTTAGTTTATTTAATACCCAGGAGCAGAGAAGAAGATTTTCAAAGAATTCATGTATTTTCACTATATAATCAATAGAGCCCCGCCCTAACACAAGAACCCCTGACCCTGGGGCCATAAAATTCACAATTTTGGTAGAGGCACTCTTGCTCATCATAACTATGTACGTACTTAGTTGGTTTATTTAATACCCAGGAGCAGAGAAGAAGATTTTCAAAGAAATAATGCATTTTCACTACCTACTTATTTAGCCCCACCCTAGCACTAGAACCCCTGACCCCAGGGCCATGAATTTCACAATTTTAATAGAGGACTCATTGCTGATTACAATCATGCAAACAGTTTGACTGCTTGATGTCCAGGAGTAAAGAAGAAGATTTTTAAAGATTGCATTAATTTTAGTGGTTTTGGCCCCACCCCTCAGGCCCCAGGGGGGCAGGGATCATGAAATTCACAATTTTTGTTCCCCTTCACCCATAGATGCTTTGTGCCAAATTTGGTTGAAATTGGTTCAGTGGTTGCAGAGAAGAAGCTGAAAATGTTCAAATGTTAACGCACGACGGACAACGACGGACGAAAACAGATAGCAATAGGTCACCTGAGTTTACTCAGGTGACCTAAAAATGAAACATTTGGAACTTAAGCTAAAGAGAGAATTGAAAGTAATAGAGAAGATGAGAAACTTGCCTAATGATGACACAGTCTAAATGATCTGTCAATCTGTCGTTCTCTTCATTGGTGATGTAGGTAAAATCTGGGAATCTCCGCTGTAAGAAAGATGAGGCAAACATTAGAAGATAAGGGAAAATACTTTTTATTGTAAAGCAAGAAAAAAACCTAAATCTGTCACTAAATCCTTACTCTGTCACTTTCGGGAAACTTGATCCATGAGTTTTGCATATTTATATGTATTTAAAAGTACTGGTAAAGACTGAACTGTATGAAACTTGGAAACTATCTATCTAAATATTTTTTTAAATTTCATAATAAAATATTGCTTTTTCTGCAAAAGTTTTTTTTATTATGGTCACAATATCAGGTGACTAAATCAACCAATTAAAACATAAAAAAATGTTTGAAATAACTGCAGCTTTTTGTACTCACTTCGTCATTAAACCCCATGTGCATCCCACAATCCAACATAATGTTCTTCCCACCAATGGTGAGTAAAATACAACTCCTTCCCACATCTGCTCAAAATCACAATTACATGTAACGTACATTTTAATTCTTCATATATCACTGCTATTCTTAGCACAACTTAGAACCATAGTTATCTTAACCTAAATATTTTACTTTCATTGAAAAATAGATAGCTGAAAAATAAATTTATATTTTCTTTGTTGAACAAAAATCTAGAAAAATAATCACGAGATCATGATTATTTTGACATAATTGTCATGAGGGGAAAAAAAAATAGAGGAAAAGACAAACAAAGTGACAATTGAGTAACTATACATATACAGTGTAAGTAACTTGCATTGATCAATTCATGGAATTCATCTTCTTGCTCAAACTTTGTACTATAATTGATAGAAAATTAAGACTTGTGACTTTATTATTGAGTTTTTGCCAAAAGGCTTCACTGATTTGTTATAAAAACAGAAGTAAAAGTTAACTCACCCTGCCCTGCACCTAAAACAAGTAAAATGTGAAATAATAGATTAGTTTTAAAATCAACCTCATAAACAAAGGCATTCAGTGCAAAAACCAAAATTTTAGCATTCAGAAAAGGGGGATGCACAGTATGCACTAATTTTTCATAGACTTATAATAATGAAAATTTAGAAATTGTCAACTCTTATAATTACCTTGGATTGTGTTGGATTTAAACTATAATGGTAAAAAGCTCTATTGGGTTTAAACCGTAATATTCAGAAATTTGAATTCAATGCAGAAACTCTCTGTCAGCTCTTTGATACGTATGCTGGCAGTGTTCTATCGTATGGGAGTGAAATCTGGGGTTTTCATAAGTCTCAAGAAATTGAAAGACTGCATTTACCCTTTTGTAAAATTACCCTTGGTGTTAGGCACAATCCATGCATTTATATGATTTATAGAGAATTGGGGTGATATCCACTTATTATACAAAGGAAACTTAAAATCATGAAGTTCTGGTGTTAATTATTAAAAACAGAAAAATGCATTTTAAAATATTCATATGAAAACCTGTATCACGATGCAGAGAGTGGGTCGGGAATGAGTATAAACTGGGCGCACAATGTAAAACTTGAATTGATGAAATACAAAAGAAAACTGCATGTTCATCATCAACCCCTTTTGTTAAAAAGATCCAGCACATTGTTTGATTTAGCTAACTGAATGCATTTCTTGTCAACAGTATAATTGATTGGTAATAATTTTACACAATGTAAAGCAATCACACTATTCATGCCTTAATGCCCATAAGATTCAAATATTCATTTATGGAAGATAATTAAATCAAACATCTCTTTTGCTTAAAAGTATACTATAGAAAAGCAGCAATGTCTTACTGTAGTAACATGCAGAATCTGCAGATTTACATTTTAATTTTACAGTACAGTCGAAAAGTATTTGGCTATGTGTGTATACATAGTCAAATATTTTTTCAATTATATGTCTTCTTCTAGCAAGAAAATGTTGGGGAAAAACTGCATATAAATAGCTCAAGTAAATCGAGATTGTTTTGGACTTGTTGACGTGTTTTATTTAATGTTTTTACATACCTAAAGGTGTTACTTTAATCTCTGATGCCATGTTGTGTATCAAAACTTATGATAAATATGCTGACAAATAAGTAAAGATATCAACTTTCATGGTTTCCCCAATATTTCATCTTTAAAGTAATTTAAACGGCGAAACACCTCATCTCATGGGTAGCGCCATGTTGATTTTTACACGGGAACTTCGATCCCGATTGTTTTTTTATCAGAACTTTTGTCTTGATAATAAACGTGCTCATTATGTTGAAAAACTAGAGTCACTACATGATAGATCATTTTTAGCAAAAATTAGGTTAAGTGCACACAACTTAGAAATTGAAAAAGGTAGATATGTTGAAATTAATAAAAATAATAGGACATGTAAAGTATGTCAAAACCTTGATATTTTACAGGATGTAAAAACATTTCATTTTGCTATGTCCAAAATATGAAGCACAGAGAAACATATTCAAAACAAAACTATCCACTTTTCCTAACTTGAACCAAACAATCCATAATAATGACAAATTGTTAAAACTATTGATGAAAACTAGTTGTAAAAAGGTGTGTGTAAAATATTCTCATCATTTTTATGTCAAATATCTGATATAAGAAAAAATATTTTAGCTATAAATGAGAAAATACATTGAAAAACTGAATCATATGTATGTATTTATATAGTATTTTATGAGTACAATACATAATTTTTTACACCAATTGTTTGTATTCTAGTTGTGTTCTACTGTATTTTCATGCTTATCACTATGTTTTCTATGGGCCTTTACCAATTACTGTAATTGTGTTGGTGCCAATAAAATATTTGTAAAATATTTGTAATTTGTTTTCCGGCACATGTATATCAAAACGGAAAACCTGCATTTAATTTTTTTATTTATATGGTATAAATTTTTATTTGTACTGTATTCTTTGATTTTCCATTTGAACTGTGTTTTTTTTTTAACTTGCATTCTATATTTCCATTTGTATTGCAAAATTCAACTTCTCATTGTTCCTTCATATGTACCCCACAGTGCATACTACTGTTACAAGTCCAAAATCATTTCTTTAGATTTCATGAGATCGCATGCTCAGCTCACTAGAGAGAAATGGAGATAACGGAACAATGATCAAGTCTAAAAGTCTATCTAAACAATATACAGATTGGAGGACGAGCGAACATATGGACCTTCAAGAACACACGCCGAGTGCTCCTTGAACATTATGTTATGATCAGGTAAACAGAAAATCTTTAGGAAATTCAATGTTTGTATAAGGGCACATGAATTAATATATGAAAATCGTCATTCAGCATTCGACTTTATGATATTTACTGACAAGGTCATGGTATCGGCCATATAGAACTTGCAAAATGATGGATTTTATTGATAATGTCGATATCCTATTTTCATCAAGTTGTTTGTCAGAAGCTTGCCTCATTTATAATTTGTTCGTACGTAGAGCATGCTTTTGCATGTTTTTCTAATGAACTGGGGGACATTATGATAAGTCCATGTTCAGGTAATATTGTCATATGTACAAGAAAGGAAAATTGACATTAATTAGAAAAATTGAAGTGATCAAATTTATCATAAAGTTTCGTTGACAGCTACCAAGAATGACTTTTTCTGGTAAAATATCAAAATATGAAACACTCTGTGGTATCTTTCATTTCAGGTTCACTAGCTGGGATGATGTATGGAGTCGACATGTGAATCGAAGTAACAACTATTATAGTATTTTTAATTGATAATACGTCGTCGGTAAGCTGAAGTCACAGTTTTTTCTCTCCATTTTCATGCATAAATTAATATGAATATAATTTAATTCTGGTTGTAACACGTCATTTGATTGGTTAAACGGTTTTATCCATTTTGTATAACATAACTTGCTTACGTCACAATGAGTTACGTCGAAAACGTATTACTCCGCTTGACATTAACTTTGAAAATATGCGATATTTGAAGCCTTTTTCCGAAGGAAAAAATGGAGATATTGTCTCATTGTCTACATTGAAATTAAATTATAAGGAATGAAGCTTATTTCAACTTATGTTATACGATATAACATAACTTGAGGTAGTTTACGCTTCGCGGTTTATAAAGCGTAAACTGCCCCAAGTTATGTTATATCGTATAACATAAGTTGAAATAAGCTTCATTCCTTAAACAAAATAGGTAGATAATAAAGGCACAATTTGTACTTATCCCCTCCATGCTTCGGAGGACGCTTGAGGCCGTTCAACAAAGAATGCCACTTACGGCGGTCGCTAGCAACAACCTGCACCTCCTTCCAGCTGCTCCAACCAAATTCTTCTCTTTTTCTTTCAACAGAGCGTCGCCCATCGTCGGAACCCAGGGGTTTTCTCTCGTGGGTTCCGACGATGGGCGTTTCTCTCCGTTACGCTGCATTCAACCAAATGCAGTGAAACGGAGAGAAGACCCTAGGTTCCGACGATGAGCGTCGCCAGGTGATCTTAATTTGGCCATCCTCTTCTACCCATTCCCCCAGGGGCCTATGTGAAAGCTGTTCTTATATGTGAGCTCGTTTCTCTTCGGAGGATGTGGCCATCTCCGGATACATTCCTTCCTTGGATCGTCCTAGATAGTACTCTAAATATGATCTTGTTCTTTCATACAATATTTGGTTGAGTATCTTTTCAGGTCAGTGTATTTTTAGGATCCTCCTTCATCTGGTCATGTAAGGCATCTTCTATGGGATGTGTCCAGTTTTTCATCGTCTTTCTCGATGAACAATACAGCATCACAGATAAAACATTTGTGTTGAAGACCTAAAGTTAAGTCTTTGTGTTGTATTGTGCTGACACTTTCATATTTTGGGACGGGATGTGAAAACAGTCCTGACAAAGCCAAGCCTTCTCCCTATGTCTGCCTAAATTCCTCTCGTCTTCTCCAGTGTGGCACCCAGGTACATGCAGAGGAATATAAAAAGTGATACATCGAGGTTCACAGAAATTAATGATTTTTCACTCACAGTTTTTTCTCAGGCTATAAGCCATGTATGTGGAAGGAAAAATAATATGGGTCATTGTTACTATGGAAATCTAGACAAAGAAGTTTCCCTAGCAACAGACCAATTTTTCCTTATATATTGACGAAATTTCACCCATTTCGAAGGCTTTGTACAAAAAAAAATAATGAAGTATTTTTTTTTCTTCTTTAGTGTCACTAGCTGCAGATCTGTAGCTCTCTGAAAAAATATGTTGATAGACCGGACTATCAATATATTTTTTTTCGGAGAGCTACAGATCTGCAGCTATAATGTCACAAGAAAGATACACTCTTGTAGTGTTCTGCCAACGTAATAAAAAGAAATTACATTATCTAATATGTTTTATAGATACAGCTAAAGATACATCATGTATCCCGTTTTTTTGCTGATTCAGCATTTTGCTTGATTTTAGCAAAAATCAAGTTGATAATTTTCGTTTCACCATCTTAATACAATTGTTTTATCTATTTCCTGTAAAACCACAGGAAAGGCTTTCTTACAACTATCTGTTGCTAAGCAACAAAAATGGATAGTTTGATAAATTAAAATGGGGAAAATGTAAAGCATTGGTAGAAAAATCTTATAAATTGTAATCAGTGAGCACCAAAAACAAATTTCGAAATAATAAAATATAAAATATTCTTTCTTGTGAACCAATGAGCATTTTACAATAAGTTATCACCATGGCAACAGTTCATTTCCTTAGCAACAGAGCATTGAAAGTTATTTTTGGCACATATTCATGAAAGTTTTTAACATACATTTGTATTATCTTATTCTTAGAGTTGAATTGCTATTGCCCAGATTCGGGCATTGCCAACCAGGTTTTTAAAAGTATTTTAAAGTTATTTTATCCCTAGCAACAGAAGTTACCACATAGGAAGAAAGGAAATAATTAGGATGTAGCAAACCTATCAACAAGAATCTGTGTCTTTAAGAATGTTAACTAGGAAAAACATTCTATTCATAGAAATGAAAAGTCATATACTTGACCTATGACTGTGGTATTTTTCAAATAATAAATCAATGACCTACTTTTCATTCTAGTAGCTTATTGAGACTCGAAAGTCTTCAAATTTTATTGCAAATTTCTAAAAATTTTGCACCAGGACCAATATCTGCAAAAACTGGATAGTCTAATTTCTGACAAATGTAGAAAATACAGTAATCTCATTAAGAAAAAAATATATTGACTTTTGTTTATGTCAACTTGTGACAATGCAGACCTGGTGAGGTTTTAATTGACCAAGGCCAAAGGCCGAGAAGGTTAATCAGTTCATGTAACGAGTAGGCAACATTCAAATTCAAAAACTGTTTTTAAAAATATCTCTTCCCACTCTTTTTCTCTCTCTCACCCCTCTCTCCCACTCCCTCCTTTCTCCCCACTCTCGCTCCTCTTTCCCCACTCTCTCTCGCAGCTCTCTCCCCCTTTCTCTCCTCCCCCTCCACTCTCGCTCGCACCTGTCTCCCCACTCTCTCTCCTCTCCCTCGCTACAATCTCCTCCCTCTCGCTCCTCTCTCCCCACTCTTTCTCGCTCCTCTCTCCCCCTCACCACTATCTCCCCACTCTCTCTCTCTCTCCACACTCTCTCTTGCCCCTGTCTCCCTACTCTCTCTCGCTCCTCTCTCTCCCTCGGAGTATGAGAGAGTTATCATCTCCCCACTCCAATCAGGAGTAGGGAGTCGAGGAGGCATAGAAATAGGGCAGGTAAAAAGAAATGGAAAAGTTTTCCTTTCGTTTTTCCCTAAGCTATGTCTACCTCTCCCAGCTTATTTTCTCTCACTCCCTCTTTCTTACCCTCTCTTTCTTTTTTTATTTTTCATTTTTCTTCTTTACAACATTTCACAACATATTTGTCGTAGATAACCTTATATATATGAATTTTATTAAAAAGTAATAGTGTTTTAAGCCTAGCATTCTTATTATAGCCAAAATTTACGGCAGTGGTTAGTTCGATTCAAACTTAATCATCACCAATAATTTTTAATTACGATTTTAAACATTATTGAAAAATTAATTTTTCAAAGAAACGTATTCGTTGATTTATAATCATGAAATAAACAATTTAAATTTGCAACGCTTACAAAACGTTTACTCAAAATAGCGCTAAATTGAACCACTAAAAGCG